GTCACTACAATATTCGACTGTTAAAAGTTATCAAGATCATTTTCCTTGTATTTATTAATCAAATATAGTTTTATAATATTTGGTAAGTAGGTTATAATCAATGATTATATAAGTTCGGTGCTTGGGCCAATTTATGAAAAGCTGACTAACTTGAGAATGGATTTATTTATGGTATAAAGAATAAAGTAAAGAAACCCTTTTTGGGTTTTTGATAAAAAGTTGAATCGTCCAATTTTTTATTTGAATTACTTATTCATTATTATTAACAATTATTATAAAAATTTTATGTTTAAATTTATAATATATGTGATTCACGAAATTATGAATTACGAAAGATGAATAATAAAAAGAAATGATGTTGAATATCAAAGACATAAAGTTTGCATCACGTATTGCATATTGTAGGAAAATAAACGGTGGTACGGCACACCGTTACAATACCGGGGGGCCGGGGTTAAATAAAAATCTGAAGGATTTTTACCACTACCATACCAAGAATATTTTTCGAAAAAAATGCTTAATGAATAAGCATTGCGGCCCGCGAACATTGATTGTGTCACTAAGCAATTTCTCAGCAGTCGATTACGGGATGACTGACCAAAAAATTATTTTCTCGAGCTACTCTCTACTTCGGAGGACACATTAAGCCGTTAGTCCCGGCTGCGTTTGCAGTAGTTATTACCCTACAATCCGCATAGGGACAGCGTGGAGGTTTATGGCCCATCAACGTCATAAACCAGGTTTATTGATATGGAGTTTTTTATTGGCATATTCGTGTATTTTTAGTGAATATTCGTATTTAAACAGTTTTTAAAATTGCACTATATTGGACTTGGATTGTACTATTAACGACGTCGAATTTCTTTTTTAATATTCAAACGATGATTGTCTATGATCCATGATTTAAACATTCAAAATTGACATCATACATCGCTTACAGTAAAAAGAAATTGAAAGCAGTATGTAAATACAAAAGTAAAGTAAAATTGGAAACATATTAATAATCCTAAATCTTCCCAAATTATCCCATCTTTGTATATTTGCATATTTTGAATGTTTTGAATTATACAGTTATTCGTATCTTTCGACTAGATATTCGAAAGGGTGTTCATTATTGTTTTTTATACAGGCCCTTAAACGATTTGGCCAATCATCAATGGCGGCACGAATCTTTTCTAGCAGAGTTCGCTTTGCTTCTCAAACAAGGGTTTGCTTCAGTGACTCCAAGTCTGGGTGGAACTTTCAGCATGCCATGAGCTCTAGTTCAGTCTCCCTAAAGAATAACCCAGCGGGTTGTGGTCGGGGCTGGAGGAGGGCCACTTATCCGCCGCAACGAAGGCCACCACATTCTCCCTCAACCGAGCTTTTGGTGCTTTTTGTCTTATGGGATGGCGCGGAGTCTTGCTGAAAATTCAATCTTTATTTTGAAATAACGTACCAGACAGGGGTTTAACCACCCGTGGTTAAACCCCATTTTAGGGCCCGCCCTAAAATGTCACTCTGATAATTCTTGGCTTTCACCTTGACACCTTGTTGGCAGAAATGGAGCTGAGTGACATCTTCAAAAGGAACTCCCCACCGTACCATCACACTAGCCAGATGACGAGTGCGCGTGACATTCCATGCAGAAGCTGGGACATCCTTGCTACTTTAAGCGTACACTTTATTGTTTTGTCGGTTGAATTGTTCTTCGACAGTAAACATTTTCTCGTCGGTGAAGAGTATCTTCTTAGTATCATGTCTCTTCAGTAGCAAAGGACAACGTTTGCATCATAACTTACGAAGACGATCGTTTAAGAAGCGAACTTTTCTACGGCTATAGACCTTTACCTTGAGATCATATTTCAGTATTCTGTTCACTGAAACGCGCGAAAATTAGACTGCAGTTTTCTTCTCGAGTTTCTTCTAAGTGCGACATGAAATTCGGCGAAGTCGCTATCGGATGATTTTGATGTTCGCAGGCGTCCTCACAGAGCGTGGCCGACTACTCCTTTGGTGATCTTGCAGAGAACTTGTCTCTTTCTACCGCTGTATTGTGTTATAGACGAAATTACGGCTTACAGTAAAACTTTTCAGCTCGCAGAATATCAGTTGCATGTGATTGTTTTATTCCCACTATCACGAGAAAATATAAACATATGAATTTGCGATACAAATAAACTAAAAGATAACATTCCAAATTCAAAATTGGTAAAAAAAATTACAGCCAGTAACATTTTATTTTATTTGTTCAGTAAAAAGTTTGTCTCAAAACTTATGAACACACCAGGTATAATACTTTTTTGATACGCTTTTCCTCCTGGAGATAAAAACTTTGAAACGCCCCCCTATAATGTTTCAAAACTAATAAAAATCTAATTCCATAAGATCAGAAAATAAACTAACAACCACTCTCTGAATTGAGAAAAGTACAAAATATCAACTTTTTATTTTAATTCACAAGTCAACCATTTCCGTACAACCAACGATTATTTGGATAGCGTCCTGTGATTAACTGCACACAAAATAACTTGAATGATCCTCTAGAAAATATTACAGTGCAGTAGATTTATTGTAGCGACATTGCTACTGTGCAACAAATTCTTTTTCTTCAACGTTTTTTTATTTATATGTATTTCACTGAAATAAATTTACTAATTTTATTTAGTATCGTTTTTACGCCAAAGACATTTTGACATAAATTTACTACAAAATTCCAAATTTTTTTATCGACTATTACAATATGCCCGAGTAAGTAGCTCTTTCAATCACTGATTTATATATTCCCATCACTAGTTATATTTTTAAGAACGGTTATTGATACGTATAGTGTTTGTTAAGGATGTATTGTTCTCGTGAAAACTGTAATTTTACTGTTTATTTCTCAAAGTTCCTTTAAAAATGGTGTTAAAAGTGTTAATTGAAGTTAGCAAATCGGTTTCCGTTGCATTTCGTAATTTCATCATTGTGAAAACTCCATAAACAGTTTAGCTGAGTTGTTTATTTACATCATTAGCGACTTTGAATGGAACAAGGTATAGAATGTATTAAGGCTTAAAATCAAGTGGAGAAATTTGACAGTTTTATATAGCATGACGTGCTTTTAACTGTACATAAAACATCGCATAAGTTTATTCTAAAAGCCTAAACTTACTAATCATTTTACATTTGATGGAACAAATTTGGCCTTTTATAGTAAAAAAAAGTGAAAGTCGACTGTACATAATTAAGATTTAAACAATTATTTATTTATTTATTAAATTTTTGGAAGACTTACAGCTATACAATGAAAAATCTTATAAAACTATAATAAAGACAAAAAGCCAAAGGCTTTTATATTTCCTTGTCTTTAGTTTATCAAAGTATAACTGGATTACATCAAAGCTTTTCTGGTAACAGTAACCAAAACCCATATTTTGTCGAATCTATGAACGAAAAGTGAACCTGGGAATTTTCATTTCATTTATTAAAACTTTCTAAGGAATCATAAATTAGAATACTAATTACAAATGATTAACGATGTGTGTTTAATTTTATAGTTCTAGTGCTCTTTAACATAAACCGTTAAAGATGAGCATAAAATTACATCATTGTTTGAGTTATTTCCTGAAAACCAAACTGAACTGACTATTAGCAAGGTGAAAGTTTTCTCTAGGATTGTTGACGACAGCTTCGCCAGCCTCTTTAGATAAGTGTTTTTATATTTTTTGGTTTTAATATGACTTTTGTCACTTATCATTTAATTGCTATTGCTGTCTGTCTCGTGTATGTTGTGTATGTTTACACATTTCTTTATTGTATCTTTTTCTCGCTAATTCATCCCTTCATTTTATTAATACTATAGTCCACGCTACTGCTGTTAATAACAAGGATATTCGCCCAATGAAAAATCTTTACCAAAGAACCGTTACCGAAGGCGGATATAATGCTGAACAGGAGCATCGCCAGCTGATGACCCAGGGGAGAGGGGAGGGTTAAGTAAATTCTAGGTATATTCGAGAGCACATGTAGCTTTTTACTTATACTACGAATCTTACATCTACGGCAGTTGTAATAACAACAGTACAGAGTCCAGCTTGAAAAGTAACACGAGCTCTTCACTGTAGAATAAATAAAACTTGTAAATAAGTTATTATATATATAAGAAAAATAGAATAAAAATAATTTGGGGGTTTGAATGTACACTCCTCCCTTTCTCCTGCTTTGACTATTATTGATCTAGCAAGTGAAGTCATAACTTAGGCCTTTGTTGCTTTACATTAGGCATTTTTTTAGAATCTCTAGGGAGGCAGCTGCACCATCTGCCCCCCCTTGGTAACGCCCCAGCTGTTAAAGTCTTATTCGATAAAAGCTTACTTTTGAGATAATTTTTAAGCTGGCTATAATTTTTAAACAATAGCTGCTAGCAAAAACAGTTTTATTTTCATAACCAGTACACTTAATTAAACCAAAACCACTGCAAAATTTATAAGTGTCGAACATTAAATGGACCATCTGATAAAGCAATCCAAAATGGGGTAATTTTCTTTATTTATCGCAACACTATGCACAAAACTATTGCTATCTACAAGCGTCACGCTATAAGTTACATCTAGAGTATTGTAATGTAAAGTAGCTCTATGGAAGTAATCCTTATGACGTCATCAGCATTTTCATCTCTCCCACTCCATGCTTTCGACGTTCTGCCATCTAAGATGATAAAATTAAGGAGCGTCCGGAGGACTGGAAGTAATGGCTTACTCTGAGAAGCTCTGCAGTGATTCCGTCATCACCCGCCGATTTTTTGTGTTTATCATTGAATATTTGCTTTCTTGTCGACATGATGAAATCTATCTTGTTTTTGACTTTACCGCACTAATAAATTAATGACACTTTTTAATTGAATTACGACGAAAGCAATCCTGTATTCATTACTATGTTAATTACATTTCTGATTGCCGGAACTATCAAAAATGATTAGTAGGATGAATCTTTGTTGAGTATCGGATTTATCGAGAATTCTGAAGCCGTTGTCTTTCAAGATGTTGTGGAAATTTTTTTTTATTTCTGTATTATTGTATGGTGGCACAGGATCTCAACCTGTTGCTGGCGGTCCTGATGGGCCGGGTGGTGGTGGACCAGGTGGTGGTGGACCAGGTGGTGGTGGACCAGGTGGTGGTGGACCAGGTGGTGGTGAACCAGGTGGTGGTGGACCAGGTGGTGGTGAACCAGGTGGCGGTGGACCAGGTGGCGGTGGACCAGGTGGCGGTGGACCAGGTGGCGGCGGACCAGGGGGCGGTGGACCAGGTGGCGGTGGACCAGGTGGCGGTTACCCTGGTGATAATGGACTCGGTGGCGATGGTCCGGGTGGTGGTGGACCTGGTTGGGGTAGACCAGGAGGCGGTGGATATGGTGACAATGGACTTGGTGGTGATGGACCGGGTGGCGGTGAAAATGGTGCTGATAGACCTGGTGGATATGGACCACCGAATCCTGATTATGAGAATGAACCTGAGACCCCGGAGCTTGAGTCTGATGAAGATGGATTGGGAATGGGAGATGGTAAGCTGATATTTTAAGAATAACCTTTCCTTCAAATTCATATAACATATGGTGAGTTTTTGGAGGCTTTGCCCACGTAAATGTGGCCCGCGTATGACGCAAGTGAAAAAATTTTCATGATCAGATCAGTATTTTTGAAGATTACCCCACCAACAAACAAACCAAGTAATAATCCTACTAATATTATAAAGGCGAAAGTTTGTAGGATTTAGATGTTTGGATATTTTTTAGTATTTCTTTTTATAGCGGTAACAGAAATTCATCATTTGTGAAAATGTCTACTCTGTAACTATAATGGCTCATAAAATACATACAGACGGACAGACATACGGAGGGGCCGAGGGGGCTAAATCATACTAGGTGTTACAATTCCATCGATAAGGTAATTAATATCGAGGATGCAGTATACAATTGTTCATACTTTTTGTATAGTCTTCTTCCTCAAGAAAGTTTATACCCCCCATTTTTTGTATTGTTATTAAAAAAAGGTATCTACATATAACATGCTTTGCAGTGAGAAATTTTACAAGAATAACAGTACAGGTTATAATGGATAATTTTATGATAACTAAGAAATAGTTTTTATATATCAATTCAAAAATAATTTAAACTTGGAGAAAAAACGACATCAAAAGAATCGAATAAGAATTCCTAATAAATTAAATATACTCAACTTATTCGGGCGAAGATTTGGTGACCAAGTACCTACACGTCTGACTTCAAACGAAGTTTGGATTTCATTTTATGTCATAATAAGAATTATTTTACGATTTTAAAGTCGGTTTAATAAGGAAAATAAACAATTTCTTATGTGACAATCTCCACATCAAGATAAATTAGACTAAATTTTCTTATTTCATCAAAGTTTTAATGGGATTATTTCTCTCAAACAAAAAAGTGAAATATGGATAAAAGAGTCAACAGTCAAGTTGAAAATATATTGTTATTTTTTCCGTTGGTTAGAAATAAACCACTGTAAATCTATTTATTAGTGTCTACTAACGCCACGTAAACGAAGTTGCGGACAAAAGCTAGTAGATTATTAACAAGAGAAATAGGGGCACGCACACACTCAGACACGTCTTAACACGACTTATTTATTTGTGGCTCAGACCTTCCTTATGAATGGTTAACGAGGATGGGCTATAACCCTCAACGCTGGCCTGGCCCAATGCTAATTAGAGGGTATTAATGACTCCAAATGCATCAGAGATCAACGGCTTAGTGTGCCTTCCGAAGCACGGAGTAACTCGACTTATTTTTTGATCACCGATCCCATGACCGATCCTTGCAAACGTTACTTAAGAACACGATCGCGGGCGGCTTCTATACACTACGCTACCGACTAGGCATATGCGCCGATAGCGAAAGCTTCGGCGGCGGCGTGGAAATAAAAATTTAGAAGCAGCTGCGTAAATGGCCGCGTAACGCCTTTTACGCGTTATGTCAAATGATGGAAAATAAAAAGTTGATAGAATAGAAACATTTATTTGTTTTTGATCAGGGTAGAAATGTACAAGATCAGAAATAGTTGGAAAACTCTAGTAACACTTATTCAGCTAGAGTATATTAGCATACAAATCAATTAGGGTACAATAATACTCTTCTAAATTATGTAACGTAATCACAATGAAATCAACAATGCATGCTTTCAAAGACATTTATATATTCTCACTCATTCGTACCTAAAACAGCCATTTTACATTTGTTATAAAAAGTGATACGAATATAACGCATCAGGAAGAGTTGTTCAGCATGATCAGCATTTTTTAATGACGAAAGACAATTTGATGTTTTCACTAACACCCTAATTGTAGAGGTGCGATCCTGTTTTTTTTTAATTCTTCTCATGGTATTGACAAACATTAAATATGTCTTATAGTAAAACATTGATACCGTCTTAATAACATATGCTGGCTACATTTCCATAATTATTGTCTGAGAAATTTACTCAGCGTGGACAAAATATCACGACTAATCGTAGCGTCATGCTATTTCTCGGAAGTTTGATATATTTACTCGGCGAGAAGAACGTCTCATAAGCAACTGTGAGCACCATGCTATGCCTTGCGTGTGTGCTAGAGTTTTTTTTACTTCACTTATTACAGGGATCCATAAAATTATGTGTTTATTTATAAAAAAAAAAGTCTTTGCATATTAAACGATTGAATAATAATAAATCCATACTAAAATAAATGTAAAAGTGAATATGTGTATGTCGGAAAGTCAGGCGGGACCGGCGGAAAGTTAGGTTGGTCATCATCCGCCATCTGACTAGTGTTCAAGATATTCTTTAGAAATAAGATCGCAGATAGACCACAAATCAGTTATTTAATTGAATTAATTAGTTGTCTAATCGGAGCACATTCATAATAACGTAATGCAAACGGATTGCGATACGAAACGCGGAGAGTTCTGCGCTTGCGTCCGCTCAATATGGCAACACGTAAGTGCCATCTTCGAACAAGCATAGACCACTCCCAAGTGATGACAGCCGTCAATGTCATAACTTGACGTTTCGCAAAGCACCATAGATCTTGACAGATGACAGCTGCAGGTGACAGATAGCGTTTCGCACAATCGAAGCGCCTTCTCGCCGACATTTATTTTATTTTTATTTTATTTTATTTATTTTAAAGAAAACTTACAGCTGTGTTTAAGGATATATCAATACAATATATGCTGAAGGCCATTTAAAATTTTCACTTATAGATATACCCTATATGTGTGCATGTGTTTGTCATGCTTTTACCAATTTTAATCAAATTCGGTACACAGATGGAGTGGACAGTGAGAGAGTAATTTTAGGTTTTTAATGTATTATCATATTAAATAGAATAGAATGGAATGGAATGGAATCACAATTAATTAAATACAATTATGATACAAAATTAGAAAAAATACTAAAATTACCATAATCATTATCGTTTCCAAGATTAAATGTCCCAATAATAAATGTCAAGATAAGGAATTTTGTAATCAATAACGTCAAAACAATAAAAGAGCTACAAATCATATAGCAATTAAACTTTGTGTTAATTTATGTAGCGTTGGCGTATAAATTTACCTAGTATCATGGTTTGAAAAATCATCAATAGAATAAAATGCCATTTCCAGTAACGGTAACAGTAACCAGTTTACGTAAAGTAGATTTAAATCGTTAAACGATAATTGTTTGAAATTATTAGGTATTTTGTTATATATTTTTTTGCACATGGCGTAACTGCTATTTTGAAATCTTTGAGTTTTAGGGACGAATTTCAAAACTAGTCTTCAAATAGCAAATAGTACCGTCTTAAAATTTGTAATGTCAGGTAAATCATTTATGTACAGCAAAAAAACAAAGATCCTAGAACACTGCCTTGAGGAACGCCACATTTATTATGTTGTGGTTTAAATTTGTAAAGCTGAATTGTATTTCTTTTTTGTCATTCTGTGGTATCTCTACGATTTTCATTCTGTTAAAAGAGTAAATAAACTGTTTTGACATTAAAACAGATGACAAAGCTCCCAATGTTTTTAATTTTGGCCACCATGAGCGCTGCGGTAGATTGCGTTATCCCCACCTAGTACTTCGCAACCGGGGATTTAGCATTTATGTGTAACCAATCTAATACGATTTCAACCCTTTTTTTCCTCGCAAGGGAATGCTTTATGCACTGTCCTCGCCTTTTGACAATCGGCAGGGGTGTGTGAGTCTCTCCATCCGCACGTATACCCACTAAATGCCGTCCGTGAACCTTCTTTTGAAAGAGCCTTGATTCCAGTGGGGAGTGATCCGGACGACGACCCATCACCTAAACTGACTGAATTTGGATTAAATTACCTGTATGAATTGTTGCAGAATACTATGGTTCCACTGAAAGTGGAGCCGAGCTAACTGATATACCCCAAGCAGACGTCGATGATGCCTTATTTTTAGAATATGGCGAGTATTCCACTATGAAGTTTCCGTACATAAATGACCAATTTATGGGGTGGCAGAATTCCTCGTCCTTCTATATATGCTATGAAGACTACATAAAATGCATCATCAGTCAGTAAGTATAGTTATTTCCGAAAAGGTAGAAAAAAATAATGTTCTTTTTCTTACTGAGAAATGCTTAAAAATCCACTTTGTCCCAGGTACTCTTAGATGGCATTAAGCATTCATTAAGAATATTTTCCAGTATATAATTAAATATAATAAATGTTTTCTTTGTTGAAAAGATTGTTTATATCAGGTGGTAATTTTAAAATACAAAAAGTGGAAATACAAAAATGTTGAAGTTTTTGTTTTTTTAGAGATACCAAAACAGTCAAAGCAGGACAAAGTCAGAAATCAGAAACGTGTTTATTTATTTACATAATTACAATTAAAATTGCAAATAAATATAATCAATAATCTTAATTGGTCTTGGGTAACACATCCCTGGTGTTTCCATCACATGATAATTCAATATATTCTTTAACGTAGTGTGACGGGTTCGATGCTTGGGCGAATGAATGAAAGACTGACTAAGCTTGAGAACTTGATTTTATTATACGAGGGTCAAACTGAAAGTTCTTAGAAAATCAAAAACTGATTACATTAGCCAGTTATTAGTTTTATTATATCTTTTCAAAATATTGTCCATTCACGTCAATACACCGCTGCATGCGATGGAACCACTGGGAAAAGCACTTTGCCCACTCGTCCTTAGGGGTCTCTTCAATGGCATCGCGATACGCAGCCACCGCTTCTCAGCATTCATAAACCGCTTTCCTTTAAGTTTTTCTTTAATTTTTGGAAATAAATAAAAATCACAAGGCGCGAGGTCGGGGCTATACGGCGGGTGACCCAGTAATTCAACGTTTGATGTCGCCAAATAGTCGATCGTTCGCTTGGCGGTGTGCGACGAGGCGTTGTCGTGGTGAAGGAGGATCCTACTGCGAGGTCGTTTCTCTCGAACTTTTTCCAAGACAAGTGGCAAACAATTGGTAGTGTACCATTCTGCAGAAACTGTTTTTTGATCCTCTAACACAATTGTTGCAAAATGACCTATCCTTCCAAAGAACGAGGCCACCATTTTTTTTCCCGCACTTCGATCTCTCTTCACTTTAGTTGGCAACTCCTCGAAAGGAAACACCCACTGAGCAGATTGTCTTTTGGTTTTAGGATCATAACAGTAAATCCAGCTTTCGTCACCTGTTAGTATGTCGAACACAGCATTTGAGTCACCTCCGTTAAATCTTTCAATAATTTTACGACACCAATCCACACGATGGAGTTTTTGAGCCTCAGTCAAATTATGAGGTATCCACCGGGCGCAAAGCTTCCTGACCGCTAAATGTTCGTGGAGGATTTTGTGCACTTGACTCATACCGATGCCTAAGCTTGTCCGAATCTGTTGATAGGTCACTCTTTTGTCAGTCTCTATCATACGCCGCACAACACAGATGTTATCTTCAGTCGTCGCCGTAGAAGGCCGTCCCTCACGTAAATCATCAGTGAGATTAGTGCGACCACGTTTAAACTCATTAAACCAGTTGTAAACAGTCGCACGAGATGGGGCTTCATCGTGAAAGGCCAATCGTAGTCTATCATAACTTTCTTGTTGACTTAAATGACATCGAAAGTCATAAAAAATCATTGCACGAAAATTTTCTCGTGTTAAATTCATGATGACGTGACACAGACAATTTTCAATTTGCCGCCAAATCGTAAAACAAATGACAAATGAATGAAATATATACTCAGTAATATTGGCAAAGAGTTATATTTTCAAATTTTAGAATTATTTTTTTATTATATTGTTTATAAGTGGCCAGTTCTAAGAACTTTCAGTTTGACCCTCGTACCGTAATAAAAAAACAAAAATTGAATATAAAAACAGTTCGTATGATTACCTAAAAATATAATCCCAGTTATTAAATAGAACAAATACATACCTCTTTTTTGGGTTTCCTGTTATATATAAACTTGGACGATATTTCACGAAGATATAGTTTTAGACTAATAATTTTCTTATTTAAATTAAAATAACTTAATTATTATTACATTTTTTATATTTAAATTTATATGATTACATTATCATATTCACACCAGATGATTTTTTTACGAAGTAACATTCATAAAGAGCATATTTGATATGCCAAAATTTCAAATTACGAAATGTGAATAATAAAAACAAATGATGTTGAATATCAAAGACAAAAAGTTTGCATTCGGACACCAAGGACGAAATAAACGGCGGTACGGCGCACCGTTACTGTATGCTTCTGGTATGCCACCTTTTTGATTTTCTAGAAATAGCTTTAATAATCTTTCTTTGTCCTTTATATGGTTGTTTTCTTTTCTTGTCCAAATCCTTTATCTTAAATACGATACTTTGCTAAGCTTTTGATGACTTACAACACCCACCTCTTTGTAACATCATAGTTCAAATAAAAGTTTTTATGTAAATTGCCGTATACAACAATAATATTTCATCAAGAAGTGGAAATGATAGTGAATGCTAGATGTATTTTTTTAATTTTTTTTCTGTCTTTTAGGCTAGTTTAGTATTCGATGTGACAGAACCCTCGAAATATAATGTAATTTTCTCATCAAAAATAAGAATAAAAAATCAAAATTATTTATTCAGTCTAGGCTGTTACAACCATTCGTGAAAGTCGAGAGTTACGCCATTGGTTCGTAAATCTACGGCGTTAAACCTTGTACCGAGAAGAACCGGCAAGAAACTCGGCAAGGACTGCTTTTTCTCCCTGTTTTATTTCATACAGAGCGTCAAGATTGAAAAATGACTCGGAAATGCTTCATGACATAATGCTATGGAAATAACTAAAGTATACTGATCTAGCAGTATTTACATCTGTGAGAAGCCTAATTTTTCTTATTACAAAGGCAGCTGAACTTAATTTTCCTGCTAATATTGAAATGTAAGGATGCCATGAAGAAGTACCGTTTATATCGATTATAACTAATTTGGTCATCTTTAATTATAACTAATTTGGTTAATATTTTTAGTACAAAACCAATAGAAAAATAATTAGTCTTAAAAATATCCAGTAACCTAGTTAATTTATGAAGCATGTTTTATCAAAGTCATAATTATAGTTTAACAAATGATACCGAATTAATTAGTTTTTTTAATGTCGATAATACAAAAACGCATAAAAAAAAATAATTTTCAAATACGGTTAAATTTAATTGAGATGCTTCACTTGTGAGTGTAAGTGCATTTTGATCCACTATGAAATACTATAATACATTCGTTAAAATATAAGAAATATATTTCTTATATTTATCATTTATCACATAAATTTCTTATATATATTTACAGTTTCATCAATTCTATTACCAACTTGTAGAGGTAATGTTTCTATGGTTTCTTTAATTAAACTAAAACAATATCTAATTAAAATGAACAATAAAATATGGTAATAATAAATAATAACCAAAAGAAAAAATTTTGACTACGTAGTAAATGAGTAAGGCGCTAATAAGAGATACAAAGATTAGTAAAAAAACCTCATTTTTGGAATTTTGGCGTTTACGATATTTTTCGTGAAAAGCCTCGAAATTTCATCTATCTATAGGACTGTAACTAAATTGTATTCTTTACCTTTAAGAGTAAAACTATAAGCTATTATACTCGTATACTTATTATTATGCATTTCAATTGAGTACAGACTTGTTGATTTGTTTTCAAAAAAAAAAAAAAACAAGATTTGTTGTGATCAAAATTAATATCAAAATTACCTCTGGCCTAAATATATTATTTTAAAATCTATCACAGAAGATATTCACAAAGCTAACGCTATAACTATATGACAAGATATTGAATGAATTATTTGACATTAATGGGAATTGTATATTTATATCCTCTTAGTGCGGTAATCAGGTTCACTTTATTGGGAAGTTACAGAGACGTGGTTTGATAATATATTTACTGATCAAGTGACTGTTACATTCATATATTATAAGTTGAACTATAAGGGCGGCGGGCGAGTAGATATAATAGGAAAAGTGGCTTAATTGTCTAATTTTAAAATCTATCACAATCCATTTCAAACCTATAGTGGCTGTGATACTGATTTATGGAAATTAGGGAAATGTGCTAATTTTAAAGTCACATTCGCTTTTGGAACGAATGATGATTTTAATGATATAAATCTTATAGACAATTAATTTCGTTTGACATTTCCCAAAAGTTTTCGAAGTTAATAAGCCTTATCGTTCATAATTGCTATCTCATGACAAATAATTGTAGCGTGAAGTTCGTGAATATCTTTCAAATGTCGAATTTAAAGGAACTGTGATAAATTTTAAAATTAACCCATTGTTTGCATTATTTTTGTTAAGAAATTGATAACAATTTGTATTTACTTCGCGTGATTTCAGGTCGGTCCGTGAACCAATTTGCGTAATGCACTATGTAAAAGAAAACACGTATGGTTCGAAAACTTTACCCACAATTTGTGATATGTGGATGGATAATTGTCGTCGAAGAAGAAGTAAGTATTTGATTTAAATTGAAAGTATTGTCTCTCTCTAGTCGGCCCCTCGTTTTTGAGGATCGTGGGCACTCGAACTCGTCAAACGAACAATCCTTCTCCATCTACTCTCATCAGAAGTGAGTCTTACCGCCACGTAGAACTCGGGTAGAGATACATCTCTAAAAGGTGAAATGAGTTACAACTCATTTCACCTTGTCAGATCATAGAGTTGGTAACGAACCTCAGTATTTACAATGACCAGTTTTTCAAAGCTATCATCGCAGACACAAGCTACGTGTAGATAGCTGGGATTTAATGTTAAGTTGGGAGAGAATAAATACATTTGTATGTTTGATTCTCCACGGTGTTCGGAGCATACGCCTCCAGCACCACATATGGAATACATCTATCTATTCTGTCTCTTTCTTTCACGAATTGACCAAGTTTTATAAAAATGTACGAACATTAAGGAGTATCATAGAATCTGTGGTAACAACCTCAAACCTTTTTCTGTCTTATAAAATGAAAGATAAAGAATCGTGTCCAATTTTGACCTAAAAAATAACAAAAGTGACGTGATATATCTTTTTTTGTGACAATCGCTAGTAATTGTCGTCATCATGCACACAGCTGATTATTAGGTTAAGCGGTATGGTAATTAAAGTAATTTGTGGAAATATGTATATTTCTAAAATTTCTTTTTATTGTGACGATTGTGTACATATTATGTGATGTGGTTATCAATATTTATGTTAGATTAGCAATTAGCTACGTTACATTAGAGAGGTTTATGGACATAGTATAAATCGTTTTTTTCAACCCTCTTATAATACTTTGGGGACATTGACCATTTTTTTCGCCTGTCCAGACTATAGTATAACTTTTTATCCCATTTATTCCCTTTCAATCCCATCTCAGGATGAGGGGTTTTTAATTGTTTTGTTTTTCATGAAATATATTTATCATTGTGAATGCAAAATTAATAAAATATTATAATTTTTTTTTGAACTTCAGCTTTGTGATATCTAACTTACAATATATTTTTACAGGATTTTGGTGGCTGATGAAAACTGGAGTATGCCACTTTGAGGACTCTTTAGGATATATGATATTCTATCCCATAGGAAAAAAATAAAAGCATGTAAGAAAATATATTTTTTAAATAAAAGTGTTCCGTCGTTACTCGGTTGATTATTTACTTGTATTATTACTTTATTATTAACTTGTATTATTTACTTGATAAGAGGTTGTCGCGTATTGTGCACGTGTTCATTTACGTACCTTTTCATAAATAGATTTTCGTATTTACTAAAATTAAATTCATCATAAACTTTAATATGTTTAGCAAACAATGTAGCAAAGATGTGTCGGGTCAGTTTTTATGTGGACAGTGACAAGGAAAATATCACTTCGGATGCGCTAAACTATTAGAATCAACCTACAGAAGAATTGAATCTATTGTACTTGACAATGTAAGAAATATAAGACTTAAGATATAGATAGTAACTCCTCCTCCAGCACCGGAAATAGGGTCGTTTCAGAAATTATAATGGCATGGTTATTTTTGCAGTCAAAACTAGTCAGCATATCTAAAAATAAGCTGGAATGCTTTGATACTCCGTGTGTTCATAAGTTTTAGGACGAAATAAAATTGCGTAACTTTTTTTAATAATTAAAATATATTTGTAAAATTTTCAGTAACCTTTAAATAGATAATAATCAACAATAAAAAATACATTTTATTCAAAAAAGGGTGTTCACCCTTGTTTTTAATACAGGCCCTTAAACGATTTGGCCAATCATCGATGGCGGCACGAATCTTTTCTAGCAGAGTTCGCTTTGCTTCTCGAACAAGGGTTCGCTTCAGTGACTCCAAGTTTGGGTGGGACTTTCGGCAGGCCCTGAGCTATAATTCAGTCCATAAAGAATAATCCAGCGGGTTGAGGTCGGGGCTGGAGAAGGGCCACTCGTCCGCCGCGATGAAGGCTGGCACATTCTACCTAAACCAAGTTTGGGTGCTTTTTGTCGGCGCCGAGACTTGCTGATAAACCTAATCCATATTGTGAAATAATGTATCAGACAGAGGTTTCACCACAGGCTCTAAAATGCCACTCAGATAATTCTTGGCTTACACCTTGACACCGCGTTGGCAGAAATGAAGCGAGTGATATCTTCATACGAAACTTGCCACCATACCATCACACTAGCCGGATGATGAATGGCCCAAACATTCTGTACAGAAGCTGGGACATCCTTCCTTATCTTAGCACATACTTATTTTGGTGGTTGGACTTTTCTTCGACAGTAAAAATTTTCTGGTCGATGAACAGTATCTTCCTGGCGTCATGTCTCCTCAGCAGCAAAGGACAGCGTTCGCGTCGTAACTCACGAAGACGATTGTTTAAAAAGTGAACTTTTCTACGGCTATAGGCCTTTACCTTAACATCATATTTCAGTATTCTGTTCAGTGAAACACACGAAATATTAGTCTGCAGAGCGAGTTTTTTCTGAATGCGACATGGATTTCGGAGAAGTCGCCCTCGGATGATTTTGATGTTCGCAGGCGTCCTCAAAAAGCGTGACCGACCACTGCTTTGGCGATCTAGCATAGAACTTGTCTCTTTGTACAGCTGTATTGTGTACAGCTGTATATACAAAATTACAGCTTACTGGAAAACTTTTCAGCTTAAATAGCGAAATGATAGTTGCACGTGATTGTTTCGTTCTCTCCATAACTAGAAAATATAAAAAAGTGAATTTGAGATACAAATAAACTAAAAGTTAACATTCCAAATTCAAATCGGTAAAAAATAATAATAACAGCCAGTAACATTTTATTTTATTTTTTCAGTAAAAAGTTTGTCTCCAAAACTTATGAACACACTTTAAGTTATTTGGAACATCAGAAAGTGCGATGCCAGGTAAACTAGAAACGCTATCACTATTGCAAGCCGATAAAAAACTGTCCGAATCACCACTAATACTTACTAACAATTGTCGAGTACTTTAATTATACTGTATGCGGGTAATCCTATGGATTCAGTAAATCAGTCAATTGCCAGCCTCTGTGTTTCATTGACGTTACATTGGCGACGAGGATTTAGCGAACCGAATATATTTAGAACGGGAGTTTAGAACCATTTGATGCGCACACTAAACAGTGGCCGTCATATATTCGTAGAGTACAACAGTATATATCATTAAATGAAGTGAAAGACAAATTGCGGGTGCCATTATTAATTACTGTGGTGGGTGAAACCACGCATTCATTAATGTGCGATCTATGTGCTCCTACAAACCCAGAAGATAAAACATTTGAAGAACTCGTGCGTTTAGTAACGGAACATTTAGAGCCGAGATTGCAGAACGCCACGTGTTCCACTTACGAAGGCAACGTGTAGGAGAATCTATGACGGAATATCTGCAAGACTTAAAGCATTTGGCCACTACATGCAACTTTGGTACTATGTTGGAAGAAAACATTCGGGATCAGTTCGTGTCGGGATTAGCCAACCCTGCGATGCGATCTAAAATATTCGCGGAGAGAAACATCAAATATAGGGAGGCGGTAGAACTGGCTCTGGCGCTGGAGGCCGCAGAACGGCACGCGGAGGTGAGCGCGGCAATGTCTGCGCCTTCGACTTCAGGTGCAGGCGGTGAGGCAGGTGAAGGACTGCACAGTACGAGCGCGACTGTGCAGGCGAGGCGGGCGCCCACTGGCGGCGCCGGTCATGGCAGTCGGCGCCGGGCACGTCCCTCTGGCAGGGCGCCTGGGGCGCAGCAGGTGACGGAGCAGCGCTGTTGGCGATGTGGGTAAGCTCATCGGCCGGACAGGTGTCGTTACGCTAACTATAATTGTAATGAGTATAATCAACGAGGTCATTTGAAAGTGATGTGTCGAGTGCGTGAAAATATTCGTAGTGCTAGACAGAATTACGTAAGTGAAGAAAATTCCGATGACGAGGATATGTATAGCATAGATTTAGTGACGAAAGATAACAAACCATTTTTTATTAAAATTAACATTGATAGCTACGTAGTTGAGTGTGAAGTCGATACAGGGAGCCGTATCTCAGCCATTAGTGAACAATTTTACAAACAAATGTTTTTACACAAAACATTCAATCCGACAATATTATGTTACGTTGTTACTCTGGAAGGCAAATTGAATCCCTCGGATACATAGTTGTCAATGCGAGACAAGGAGATGTCATTGCAAATAATTTGGTATGTTATGTTATCAAAAGTGGAAGGCACTTAATATTAAACAAATTAATTTTAATCAATTGCATGAGGATCCGTGTGTAGATCGCTTGGCGGCCGAGTTTCCTGAGGTATTTACTGAGCGCTTAGGTAAATGTACTAAATTGCTACAGTTGCAACTTACTGATAACGAACCGGTTTATGTACGCGCGCAGCCGGTGCTGCTCGCTTTGCGTGCGCGCGTTGAACGTGAACTCGAACGCCTCGAATCTGAAGGAACTATTTATAAGGATGAACATTTTGATTACGGTACGCTTATTGTGCCGGTTACCAAGGGGAATGGTGATATACGGATCTGTGGTGATAACTAAGTAACTATTAATCGTAAGTTAAAACGCAACTATTATCCCCTACCGCGTATTGAGGAATTGTTTGCAACTTTAAGTGGGGGTAGGGAATTTACAAAAATTTATTTGACTCATGCATACCAACAAACGATGCTAACAGAAGAATCCCAACCTTGTACTGCGATAACTACACATCTGGGGACTTTTGTATAATTATCGTCGTACACCTTTTGGTTTATCATGTATACCTGAAAAATTCCAAAAATTGATGGAAGAGACATTAAGGGGTATCACTTCCACGGTAGTACTTTTAGATGATATTTGTACAACTGCGGTTGATAGGATGTCCCATCTGCATACTCTGAGACAAGTTTTAAATAGATTAAAGGAAATGGGCCTTACTGTCAAATTAAGTAAGTGTAGCTTTATACAGAAAAATGTAAAAAAATGTGGGGTTTATTGTTGATCAGAATGGATTACATCCTGATCCAAAAAAAGTGGAGGCCATTGTCGATGCACCTGCTCCAAGAGACATTATACAGTTAAGAAGTTTCTTAGGGTTGTTAAATTATTACAGTAAATTCATCCCCAGACTGAGTATAATTTTACATCAATTACATGAGCTGTTAAAAAAGGAATTATATGGAATTGGTCGTCCGAATGTGCTAAAGCTTTCAAAGAGGGTAAAGAAAGTTTGGGTGACAAAGTATTAGCACATTATAAAAAGGGACAGCCCTTAGTATTATCAGTAGACAGCAGTGCCTATGGAATAGGCGCGGTGCTGGCTCATCGCTTTTCTGATGGAAGCGAGCGCCCGATCAGTTGCGTTTCGCGCACTCTTAATGACGCGGTACGTAATTATAGTCAAATCGACAAAGAAGCACTTACTATTTTTTATGGGGTTACTAGGCACTATCAATACCTTTTTGGTCGGCATTTTGATTTGCGCACCGACCATAAACCATTAAGTTTTATTTTTGGAAAAAGTGTAGGCATACCACAAATGGCTGCCAGTCGGTTACAACGATGGGCAGCACAATTGGTCACTTATGATTTCACAATTAAATTCATTCACTCAAAACAGAACGGACCGGCCCACAGTGTTTTATGAGACCCTAAAATCGGACACGTACCTGTTTTTTCCATTATTGTATAGAGTTTCATATCACAAATGCACCTGTAAAAGTTTCACGTGCCAATCTTATTTAGTTTAGGAGAAAAAAATATTGAAAATTGGCAATTTTTAGTACCGGAAAATTAAGAAAATATATTGCAAGAAAACTGTACGCGTTTTAAATGCAATGATGTTACACCTAATAAGATCTCAAAAATTAGCTATATCAGAAACCATTTTGAGCTTTCTAAACTGTACTGTTGCAAAGATATCATTTTTTTTCGATTTTATTTCAAAATTTTTTCCCCGCCGTTTTCTAAAAAATCCGGATCCAATTTTTAGTTTAATCCATAGCATAAGACACTACCTATGTGTAAAAAAAAAATTGCGTCCGTATCTCATGGAAATTCGGAGAAAATTATTGATTGACATTTTTTGTCAGGGTTGCCACCTTTTACCGGTATTTAAAATAATCAATAATTATTCACACTAAGTGTTTAACGAAGTTAAACCGATACGAATCGTAGTCTCGCCCTTTCTTATATACCTCTTACATTATTGACGACCTCCGCGGTCGAGAGGAGTACGCGCCGGCTTTTAAGGTGACGCTTTCTCTGAGGTCCTGGTTTCGATTCTCGGTCGGGTCAATATAGAAAGTGAACTTTTTGATATTGTCTCAGGTCTAGGTGTTGTGGTACTACTATTGTTTCCGAATACCGTAATACAGGTTGCATTAGTTCCTTACCATAGGATCGGATCAATGTATACAATGTTGACCAATATTATTATTTATTCTTATTTACGCAGGTTAAACGGAAATAAAAGGCGTTTAAACAACAAATGGAGGTATTATTTCACGCTTTTCTTCAGGTCAGATTCCAGTGATAGGTTTTATGTGATGCGGGAAGGGGTCCACCCTCGTCAGACGTAAGTTAAAACCCCGCATTGATACATATTGCCTTGAAGGACGGGGGTGAGGCACCATGGAGCCGTTCAAGACCCATGGCGCCACTTTGCCTCAACAGGAGCTAACCCAATCTGTTGAGCGATGTCCATCTGGACCCCGACCGGAGGACTTAATACAAGGGGGAAATGAGGGCGCCAACCCTCATTCTGGTTGCCGAGTGGCAAGCGATGCTATGGATCACGCCATAGCCGGCACTTCTTATTCTCTGGAAGTGTTCGCAAATACGCGAAGAGAACTGGATGACAACGGTGGAACCAGTGGAAGATCCTCTCAGCAGGACAACAGTGGTGAAGGCGGCAGATCGGACACATCAGTAACACTAACTCGACTAGAAGTTTACAAACTCCTAATTAAGGAAAGCAAACAAATTAATAGAAAATGGCGACCTTTGGATTTACCGGTACCCGATCGATGTGCAGCAAAGTCAAAGTCAAAAAGTCAAAGTCAAAATAATCTTTATTCAAATAGACTTCTTAAAAGTACTTTTGAATCGTCCAACATTTTTTTCCCTACCACTCGTTCAGGACGTCTTTTGGCCGATAAGAAGAACGAGCAAGAAACTCACCAGCTCTAATAAGAGTAATAACATTTACAAAAAACCATGTCATTACCAGATCTATACATTATAAACAGAGATAGAGAAAAAATAAATAAATATGGTCTTATAATAATAACATAATCATTTAATAATAATGGAAACAAGATAATGAGTTTAGAAGTAATCACCTATCCAGTTGCTGGATCATCTCAAGTCCAAGCGTTCTTATCTGTTACATAATCGGATACCTTATAATAAGCTTTTTTAATAAGTATATTTTAATAGTAGATTTAAACTGCATGATATCTAATTGTTTATTTTGCTTGGGACCTTATTGTAGAAGCGCACACAAAGACCCTTGAATGAGTTATTAACTTTTTGCAGTCTAGTGACAGGCACCGTTAATTTATTTTTATTTCTTGTATTAAAATTGTGTACATCACTTTTTATAGAAAACAAACTAATATTTTTACGAACGTACATTAAGTTCTCGTATATGTATTGAGAAGCAACAGTCATAATGTCTATTTCCTTAAATTTCTCCCTTAAAGAGTCCCTAATCCTAAGATTATAAATTGATCTAATTGCTCTTTTCTGAAGCAAAAAAATGTCGGCAGCATTTCCCCACAATAGGAGTCCGAACGACATTACACTATGAAAGTAACTGAAGTATACTAATCTGGCAGTATCTATGTCAGTTAACCTACGTATTTTCATAACGGCATATGCTGCAGAGCTAAGTCTACTCGACAATCTATCAATATGTGGGCCCCACTGTAGTTTAGAATCTAATGTTATTCCTAAAAATACTGTGGTATCCACAAGGCCCATGTTCTTATCTTTTATATTAACATTTATATCTACTTTTTTAACATTAGGTAGTACAAATTTTAAGCATTTTGTTTTTCCTTCATTAAGGAGAAGATTATTTACATTAAACCAATGTACTACTTTAGCGATAGAATTGTTCACATCGTCATTTAGATGTAACCCTCTTTTAATTTTAAACAAAAGTGAAGTGTCATCCGCAAACAAAACTATTTCGTGATCATCCCTTACGAAATAAGGCAAGTCATTTATGTAAATCAAAAACAAGAAAGGACCAAGTATTGAACCCTGCGGAACACCCATCTTAATTTTCGATCCAGGGGATCTTTTGCCATTGATATCAACCCTCTGTACTCTGTCAGTCAAGTATGAGACAATAAAATCCGTTATCTCTAAATCCATAAAAATGCAGTTTCCTAATCAATGTTTCATGAAAAACACAATCAAATGCCTTAGATAGGTCACAGAAAACACCTAACGCATCATGTGAATCCTCCCAGGCATTAAAAATTTCTTGTATTAACTCGACACCGGCTTCGGTTGTCGAGCGACCCCTTGTAAAACCAAATTGTTGTCGATTCATAAGCTTATTCTTGTAAAAGTACGTTTGTATTTGATCCAGCATGATTTTTTCAAAAATCTTACTAAACGTAGGTAGCACGGATATAGGTCTAAAGTTATTAGGGTCAGATGTGCTACCCGATTTATGTAAAGGAATAATTTTACTATATTTCATGAGCTCTGGAAAAATACCACAATCAGTACATTCATTAAATATATATGCTAAGATTGGAGCTATTGTCTCAATTACCGATTTAGAAACTTGAATGGAATTACCCCATAAATCAGCGGTTTTCTTTTTCTTTAGCTGATTAAAAGATTTTATTATATCTTTAAAATCAATGTGTTGAAACTTAAATTGGCTATTACAATTATTTAAACTTGCCTTTAAAATAGATTCAGCAACAGTGGAAGAGGAATTCAAAGATTGTGTTATTAAGACTGGAATTTCAGTAAATACATTTTCAAATACTGTAGCAACTTTAAGATCTGATGTTACTTTTTTATTATCAATGTTTAAATTAAAATTTATATTCCGGGATTTTTCTCTTCCAGTTTCACTATTTATGATATTCCACGTCATTTTAACTTTATCTTTACTATTTTTAATTTTTGCATTTAAATAATAACATTTGGCTAAACGACACACTTTTTTGAATAATTTAGAGTAATTTCGTACATATTCTTTGAAGTCCTCACTTGTGTTATAATAACGTTCATCATATAGTTCATAGAGCCTTTTTCTACTTTTGTAGATTCCTGGTGTAGCCCACACACTAAAAGTTATAGGATTACTAATACTAATATTTTTTGGGACAAAAATCTTATTGAATTCTGTACAATAAACATCAAAGAAATCTTTGTACAAATCATTGGGATTACTATTATGTTTCAAATGATACAATTTATTGTCTAATTGATTTTTAAAACGTTCCAAGCGACTCATACTTTTTGACACAACTGTAATGTCTCTCCTAGCCACAAACGTACATTTATGCGGAAAACTAACTATTTGTCCAAAATGATCTGACGGTAGTTGTTTAATTATCTGTTTTGAAAGTGGTACCAGATCTGTAAAAATGTTGTCAATACATGTGGACGAAGTAGCAGTTACTCTAGTAGGCTCCTTAAACATGTGCGCAAGATTATAGGACATAAATAGATTTACAAGTCTTGTACATGAATTGGAGTTTCCTAATAAATCAACGTTAAAATCACCCCCAATCACTAATCGTTTGCCTTTGCTATATACCTTTTTTAATGCTTCATCCATAACTGTTTCAAAAAGATCATAATGACAAACTAAACTTGAAGGAGGTCTATATACGCTCAGTACAATCAGCTGGTCCAGCTCTATACAGGCAATCTCTATTATTTCCTCAACCGATAGGCTCACTATATCTCTACGTTCTTTAAATTTAAACTTTTTATTTAATAAAATTAGTGCGCCGCCACGCATTGCGTTTTTCCTAATGAACGCGCTACCAACCAGGTGATAATTGAAGTTAAAAATGCAATTATAACTTGTTAACCAATGTTCCGTTATACAGAAAATATCAATATTGTTACAGTTCATGAATAATTCCACTTCTAACTCTTTACTCAACAGTCCTTGAACATTTTGGTGCACTAGGTTGATGACTGTTACATTCTTGGTTCCATTATTACTTTGACCATTCAATGGCAAGCAAGAGGAATCCTCTTTTGTCTTAGTATCTAATTTAAAAACGAATTTGTCGCAATGTCAGTAGGATTATTACTGACAGTCATGTCAATAAAAGAGTGCTCAATAGGAGCAATCTGGTTAGCCAAATTTTTGGCTGTTATAGAAAAAAAATATGATAGCGAAATAGCTATTTGTCTCTTATAATAATTGGAAAGATAATATTTATCTTTAGTCAAATAAAATTTTCTAACATACTTGTTAGTGTCAATGACATGAAACTTTGCAGTATTGCATATAGTGTGCAATGTCATATTCAGTTTGTATCGCAAATTATTTTCTTCACTGGACAAACTATTGCAATAAGGCAACGTAAAAATCACGACTTTCCCAACACTTAATGAATTTAATTCGTTTATATATTTCAATAATTTATGTTTTTTCAAAGTACCTCTATTGCCAATAAAAAACAACAAAGTGGTATTTTCGCTGTAGTTTTGTTTAATTGCTTTTTCCAAAATATCACTAAAAGAGGAATTAGGCATACACAAGTTTAGTGTTGAATGGCCCTTATCGAATAGCAGACGGCCCATGTTTCTGCCAATTTCATCACTGAACATTAAAATATTATTTTTATAATTTTGTGAATTTATTGAATGACGTTGGGAAAATTGTGATGGAGAGCAGTCATCAGTAACAGATGACTGAACAGGTATCTGAGTAAACAGTTGTGACTGGTGGGCAGATGACTAACAGGGTTTCTGTGTAACTGTATTTATAAATTGTTTCTGAATATTATTATTGCTATTGTTACTAAAAGCTGTTTAGTTTAGCAGCTGTTTTAAAAGCCCTTGGTGAAGGATATGAACCGTCAATGTCAAATAAAGAGCTAACACGAGCTATTGCTCTGCTTATTACTAAATGCGATGCCATTTATAAGAAAAATCACTACAAAATGAATTTGTTTGAAAACGACAAAAAAAGTAAAGATTGGCTTAATACAGTCTTTTTACAAGGCAAGCTTAAAGATACTGAACTATCACCAAAGTCAGTTCAATTCATTAATCTAAGTACACGGCAGCAATTGCGTTGTCGGCGAAAACTCGAAGCTAATTTGGCTGAAGAGCCTAAGCCAAAAAAAATCAAGACATTTGTACAATCAATGTCTGGCTCCGATGAAAGTACAAAAATGTCGACTAAAGTTGCGAAGGACTTCGAATTCGTAATTGATCAGTGCTTGCAATCAGGATCAACTACCATTGCGAACAAGATTCGGCATCCTTCACCTCAGCCCTATTCACCACAAGAAGCTTTGTCTGTAATTATAGACAAAAAATTAACAGTCGACACTTATAAGTTTTTACAAACAGATTTAAAAGAAAGGAATTGTTCAGTATTTCCACCTTACCATAAAGTTTTAGAAATAAAAAAATCTTGCTACCCTCTAGAGGAAGTACAAGTCACTGAAATTGAAGCCAGCGTTACTCTGCAAGGACTTTTACAGCATACGTTATAACGCATAGTAGAATCTTGTGACGCAAATGTATCACAATTTTGTGAACAGAATGCAACTCAAGAACTGTATTGCATTTTTGAGGGCTCTTGGGGCTTTGATGGTAGCTCGGGGCAAGCTTTGTACAAACAAAATCTTGGTGATGACGATGACGAGTTAAGTAATGAGAACAGTCTCTTTGCTACTACTTTTATTCCTTTAAAAATTTCAACAAAAGACAGTCATGAACTTTGGTTAAACCCTACACCCCAGTCATATCGCTCTTGTCGGCCTCTCAGAATACAATATAAAAAAGAAACAACTGAACTAATCAAATCTGAAAAAAAAATTGTAGATGACCAAATTACTCAACTTAAACCGTTATCAGCAAAAACATCTAAAGGCTACACGATACACGCTGAATGTGTATTGTATTTGATTGTTATTGATGGGAAGGTGCTCAATATTATTCTAGACACTCCATCTCAGCTGCGTTGTCCTTTCTGTGGAATAACATCTACTCAATTTAACAAATTAGAGGTCTGTTATGAAAAAATACCCAGAAAAGAAGCACTGATGCATGGTATAAGCCCTCTTCATGCCTGGATCAGGGTTTTAGAGTTTCTTTTGAAGCTGGGCTATAAATCCGAAGTCAAAACGTGGAGAATCCCTCAGACATCTCCAGAATATCAATTATTAGAACAACGAAAAAAATATGTCCAGACCCAAATAAGAAAACAAATAGGTGTATTAGTTGATGTCGTCAAACCAAATAGCGGCACAACTAATGACGGAAATGCTGCGAGAACCCTATTATCTGACAAATACAGACAAACGTTTTCGGAAATCATAAACATAGAAAAGTGGTTGCTAGATGACCTTCATACAATTCTAATAGTATTGTCGTGTGGTTTACCTTTCGGAATAAAGGAATTTAAAGGTACACCACACGACAATACTATTAGAAAAGAAATACTATTTCCTAAAGTTCGGAATATTTACTAAAACATTGGCGCACAGATACGTAGCTACCAGAGATGTGACTTATCTTAGATACAAGTATTTGAAATACAGATACAAGATACAAAATATGTATTTTCATCTTGTATCTAAAATACTTTTTTTAGGAAGTATTTTGTATCTTGTATTTAAATACTTTTGTTTAGTATCTTAGTATCTTTTAAATACTTTTTCTGATAAAATACTTTATAAAAATATTATTTCTTACTTTTTATAAATATCACAAAACATTCTTTGCCTAAAACATACATATTTACAAAAAGAAAGTGTTAAATTATCAACGCAATGAATATTTAGTTAAAAATAACTCGAATCCAACCATTGTTTGGTGTCATTTAAAAAGTAAATGCGTAGAACTGAACGTACACGGTTATACCGGTGTAATACACCCTCCCTAGTAAAAAATTTATACATGGCACATAGGGCTTGAAATCGAATAACCGGTTACAAGAAATAAAAAAATCTTGATTTATGTAAAAACCCGGTTATATGATATAAATAAAACTCAGTATATCAATTAAACTCATTATTAAATTTTATTATTTTTTTGCACATTATACCTACTTTTTCCACTAACAACAGCATTCAAAAAGTTTATTTTAAAAAAAATTTCACCGTGCAATTCGATACATGGCAAATGCTTGAAATTTTATCCCGTGAGCAAAGCAATATTGATTTTATTGACTCAACAGTTAATCTTTTTCTATCTTTTGACCACTGCATATTCATGAGCGAAAAAAAAACAATATTCGCATTATGAGGCATAATACAAAAAAATACTGACAAATCTTCAGTAGTTCGGAAACGAGTGCTGTCATTGCATATATTGAAAATAATTACCCACTGCTTTTCAACTAATTCGTCATAAAAATAAATTTGTTAATAGAAAAAATTCTTCAAATAATTTCTTTGACATCGTCAATTAATACTCCTTTATTTTTTAAAAATACAACACAATCTGTGATGTAATCGTATAGTAGATTTTGCTTTAATAAGTAACCATTTAATTCAAGGGATCTTTATTGAGAAACAACAAAAAAATGGGCGGAGTCCTGTCTTAATATTAGGTCTTTACCTATGTAATTGCCGTTCTGCTGTACTAGCCATTAAAAATCAAACTTTTTTTTTTGGCTGATAATTCTAATATCAAATTATTTTTTCTAAAATCGTCATTTGTTCAATAGTAAGTTTTTTGTTTTCAATGCATTACAATATTTTTCGTCGTCATGGATAAGTTAAAAATTCGAGTAATTATGGAGTATGTGTGCCATCGTGGCAGCAAAGTGGCACGCAACATTACAACGTTTGCAGAGCGAACACTACAAACGGACGCACCACCTGTTATTGGTTTGCCCGTTATTGGTTTACGAAAAGGTTGCTGTTTGGTGGTCTAACGCGGATGTATTTCATCACAGCTTCTTACCAAACAGGACGAGCATTACTGCAGATTTACTGTGTGTATTGTGAAGAACTGAACACAATGACGGAGAAGCTGGCACAACTCCAACCAGGTTTTGTCAATCGTTCGGTTCCACTGCTCCTGCACGACCACGTACGACCTCATACTACACAATTGGCGGTACCCAAGCTACAAGAGCTGGGGTTTGAAGTTCTCCGTCATCCGCCGAACTTAACAGACCATGCGCCTTCTAATTCTTCCAGAATTTGGATAACGTCTTAGCGGGAAAAAAATAAATTCCGAGAGGCAGTACAAAATGCCTTTGAAGTTTTTGTTGCCTCCCGTCCAACTGATTTCTTCAAGAAGGCATCATTAAGCTACCAATGCGTTGGCAAAGATGTATTGATTGCATGGGTGATTACTTTGATTAATAGAAATAAGAAAATAAAGCTTTATTTATTTTATTAAAAACGGAAATTTCATAGATAAAGACTTAATTAATACTTCAAATCCGGTTGAGACCGGATTTATCCGATCAGATGGTAACTAATGGCGCATTACCAACAGTACCAGCAATACCAACTCTACGTCTTTTTAGGTACATCTACGTATTATAAGCCTTTCCTACAAACCAACGTACTATAATCAACCACAGAAGCTAAGTATTTTCTATTAAAAATTTTCAAATTAGCTTAACACACTAAAGGGGCATAATTTTCGGTAGTTCTGCAAAAAAAGTTAATATACGTACCGTTACATACTATCGCACATTCACTCGTCACAAGTCACGCCATTAATTTTAAAAACCAAGTACTGTATTTATTTTTACCCACTCTCTTCATCTCACTAGGAAAAAATGAATTTTCAGTTCTCCGTAATTTTACGTCGTACGTAAAACCAGCTTTTTAAATAAATAATAATTTTATAATTAAATTTAAATAATTATTCTTGTTGTTATATTTCAGCAATTTTTCATTCACAATGCTATATTGAAAAAAATTATTACACTAGAAAGACGGAAGCAGTCATTTGACTGTAATTTGATTTTAAATTTTGAATAACTCAAAAACTATTTAACTTTATGTACTGAGACTTTATGACTTTTATTAATATTACTAGATAAATGAAACTATGTATGAAAATAACTCTCGTCTCTTTTGTTTATTGTTTAAAATCTTGATATACCGACAAAGACGGCGGCAGTCATTTGACGGTTGATATCGGATAAGTATTTATTTGTAATATGAGAAGGTAGAATACGAAATAATGTGCGCTCTGTCCATTGTTTGGAGTATGCTGGTCAAATGAGTCAGTACAGTTACGACTGCCTATCAATTTTGTCAGAATTATTGTAAGTGATTCGTGAAAAATGTCTCGAGCCCTTCAAAATGAAGAAATCCTTTCAATATTGCAAAATATTTGTGAAGATGAATCGGATTGTGGGTCTGAGAGTGAAGAACGGGGTAGTGAGGATGATAATGTACCATTTATCAGTTCGAGTTCCTCTACGGATGAAAGTGACCTGGAAGATCAGATACCTCTAGCAACTTTACGAACCGTTGACAGGTTGAGTTCTCGTGGCCGCGGTCGCAGCCGTGCTCGTGGTCGAGGTCGTGGTAGGAGTCATAATTTGGAAGATTCTGAGCTTCAAGGTCTTATCACTTCTATCGACGGTACCTCATGGACACCTCAAATGGAATCTACTCAAAGTGGTCGCCGGGCACGCCACAATATGTATTATAACTGAGCAAGCAGGGCCTACCTCATATGCAAAAAGAAATTTCAAGGGACATTTGTCAGACTCGTGGAGGATTTTGATTGATGAATCTATATTGAGACATATTCAGAAGTGTACTATAGAAGAAGCTAATAGACAACTAGGACACAATAACTGGATACTAACTTTGGAACAACTGGAAAGTTTGATCGCTATACATATGTTATGCTCGAGGTGCATACGGTGCAAAAAATATTCAAGTAAGTGAGTTGTGGAGTAAAACTTGGGGAATAACAGTTTTATCAAAAGTTATGTCACGTGACAGATTCAAAGAAATAATGAAGTATTTGCGATTTGATTACAGATCTGAGAGAAGTTCACGACTTCAACAAGACAAATTCGCACTAATATCAGACGTTTGGAAGAAATTCATTGAGAACTGTTTATCGTGCTACAAGCCGGGAGAAAACGTTACAGTAGACGAACAACTGTTTTCTACTAATGTTAGATGCAGGTTTCTTCAATACATTGCTAACAAGCCTGATAAGTTTGGAATTAAATTTTGGCTTTGTGTTGATGTAGATTCAAAATTTGTACTCAACGGCTTTCCTTACTTAGGAAAAGATGAAAGCAGGCCACCAAATCAAAGCCTCAGTGAATCCGTTGTAATGCGTGTCATGGAACCTTTTGCAAATACTGGTCGAATGTAACCTCTGACAACTTCTTTACATCTTTGAGCTTGGCAAATAACTTGCTCGCAAAACGCACTACAATTGTAGGAACTTTGAACAGGGCACGACGAGAGGTTCCACCTTACGTCAAATCACTTCATATGACTTTGTTTGAAACAAAAATTCTGAAATCTGATAGATGTACTCTTACGATTTATCAAGGAAAACGAAACAAGAACGTTTTATTGCTCAGCACGGTACATGACAATGTTGAAATAGATTCAAATCATCCTAAGAAAAAGCCAGAAACTGTGACTTTTTACAATGCTACCAAGTACGGCGTGGATGTGGCTAACCAGATGGCAAAAAAATATAGTGTCAAAGTAGCATCTCGAAGGTGGCCTGTACAGGTATTTTTCAATATTTTGGACCTAGCAGGGATAAATTCCTTCATTTTATATAAGAAAATGTCAGGCACCAACATAAAACGAAGGAATTTTATACTAAGTTTAGCAAGTGAACTTAGCGGCAAAGTAGAAATTGAACCGAGACCCTCTGAAACCTAACTATCGCCCAAAGAACCAACACCTTCTACTTCTCGATCTACACTTCAAAATCCGGAAAGTCGAAAAAGGCGAGAATGCTATATGCAAAAGTGCAAAAATAAAACAAATAAATTATGCGACTCTTGCAAAAAGCCACTTTGCGGCCCTTGTAACGTAAATAAAATCTTAAAATGTAAAAATTGTATGTGAATTAAATAAATAATTATATATTATACTCTGTTTCATTACTATAGTTACTAATTTTAGCAAATATATAATAAAAAAAATTAAATAAATTGGGGCAGTCATTTGACCGGTCGCCGTCTTTGTAGGTAGATGAATTTTCCCGTCTTTCTAGTGTTAAAAAGGAACTAAAAAACTTAAAATAATTTAAACCTGATGTTTTAATACATATTTGAATTTTTATATGTTACATTGTGATTGACAAACAAATAAAACGGAGGAAAAGTGGGTGAAATTTAGCTTGTTAGATTTGAGTACAAACACAGAAAACTAAATAAAAAAAAGCTTACAAAAATTGTTTCTAATGAAAAATGCTTAAAAAAATTCACTTTGTCCCTGGAAACATCTGGTCTAAGATTTAGGTTTTTGTGGTCTTTAATAAAAAAACTTAAATTCAAATCTTTTTTTAGAAAAGTATTTGTATTTATAAAAAGTATCTATAAGATACCTATTTTGTATCTAGTATTTCAAATACTTTTCTCGAAAGTATTTCGTATCTGGTATCTGAAATACTTAATTTAAAAGTATTTTGTATCTTGTATTCCAGATACTTTGTACAGGGTATTTTGTACATCTCTGGTAGCTACATATCCGTGGCACCCAATGACTGTAACGATTCACAAAATACTGGTACATAGAAAGGACATAATAGAATCCACAACAATACCCGTCAATAGCCAGGAATAAATTCTGGAAGCACGATAGAGAGCATCATACAAGAAAAAATTGCAGGAAAATAACCATGCTTGACCTTTTTCACCGTGCCTTGGAATCTTCAGATCCTCTAATTTCTGCCATCAGATTACGAAGAAGACAAAATAAGTTGAGAAAGCTCCCCTTACCTCAAGCTGTTTTAGAACTGTAAAAACCTATAAATATAAAACCTACAAAAGATACCGGAACAGAGACAGATCAACAGGAAGAAATATTAGAAGACAGTGAAATGAACATAGTTTGCTTAAATAATAAAGAATAATACACGCTCACATACACACACGCACTCACACACACACACACACGCACGCACAAACATACACACACACACATTATAATATTTATTTTTTATTATATTATTTTAAGTTATAGGTTTTAGCAGTTCTAAAACAGCTTGAGGCAAAGGGGCTTCCTCAACTTATTTTGTATCCATATACTTGTATTACTTATTTATTATTTAGTTATGTAACGTATTTTATATATAAACAAATAATATTAATCAAAAAAATCAAATTAAAATCAACTCTAAGTTAATATTTTGTGACGAGGAAATTTTTTTACCTAGTACCGGAAAAATATTTTTTTCGGTTCAGTGACAACCCTAACGACATTTTTAACGGTACTTTTTTTTAAATGCGTATAACATAGAATTTCCACGAGATACGGACGCAGTTTTTTTTTAGCGCATAGATAGTCTTATGCTATGGATTAAACTAAAAATTGGATCCGGATTCTTTAGAAAACGGCGGGAAAAAAATGTTGAAATAAAATCGAAAAAAATTAATATCTTTGCAACAGTACACTTTGGAAAACTCAAAATGGTTTCTGATAAAGCAAATTTTTGAGATCTTTCAAGGTGTAACATCAGTGCATTTCAAACGCGTACGGTTTTCTTGCAATATATTTTTTTTTTATTTTCAGGTGCAAAAAATTGACAATTTTCAATATTTTTTTTCTCCTAAACTATATAAGATCGGCGCGTGAAACTATTACAGGTGCATTTGTGATATGAAACTCTATACAATAATGGAAAAAATAGGTACATGTCCGATTTTTAGGTCTCATAAAACACTGCCGACGCACTGTCGCGACTACCGTTGACACGAGAGGGAGGCGCCGCTCACTCAGTGATGACTTATATTCATTTAGTACAAGAAAGTATGCCTGTAAACTTTCGTGATATAGCGAAAGAAACCTGTAAAGATGGTTTGTTATCTAAAATAATTGGTTATGTTAAATTTGGGTGGCCACCAGTGGCTAAATGTGATGACGAAAAAATATTTTTTTTTGCGAAAAAATGATATTACAGTGGATTTTGATTGTTTAATCTATAAATATCGCATTATTATACCGGTAACTTTACAACGTCGAATTTTAGGTGAACTACACCAAGGACATTTGGGTGTAAATAAAATGAAAAATTTAGCCCGGAATTATGTGTATTGGCCAAACTTAGATCGGGATTTAGTGGATTTATGTCGGTCGTGTGAGGCTTGCCATGCCGTCCGAGATGCCCCACCGCGCTCGGAGTTGCATCCTTGGGAGTTTCCTTTGTTTCCATGGCAACGATTGCATGCCGATTTTGCCGAATATAATGAAAAGAAATATCTAATTGTAGTAGATGCTCATTCTAAATGGATTGAAGTAGTAGGCATGACCCGTACCGATGCGAAGTCGACAATTTCCGCTTTAATATATATTTTTAGCAGATTCGGGTTACTTTTGCAATTAGTCACTGATAATGGGCCTCCATTCCTTTCTCAAGAATTTGAGAATTATTGTTTATTCAATTGTATTAAACATATCACCACAGCACCATATAGACTACAGAGTAACGGTACTGCTATTAAAAGGGCTACTATTTTAGGTGAAAATGATTCGCAGTCAATAAATAAGTTTTTATTCTAGTATAGAAAATGTAATCATGAAACTACAGGTGCGTCACGTGTAGTGCTCTTAACGGGACGCCGCATGCGCACCCGATTGGATATTTTACGACCAGATGTTGGTCAAATTGCACAGGCAGGCCAACAGCGGCAGGCAGAGAATGCAGGAGGCACAACTAGGGCTCCTTTGCAAATAGGTGTCCAGGTACTCGCGCGTGATTATGCTGTGAGTAAAAATACAGGACCTTTATCCTGCCGCGTTCGTTTAGGAAACGGTATTGAGTGGTGAAGACATTTAGATCAGATTTTACCGATTGGTGACAATAACTCGCGTCTATCATTGTCGCGTGCGAGTTCGGGACTCAAAACATAGGCAATAACATTGAAGAAGATGATTTTCTGGATGCCCATAATGATGGCGGGACGTTGGGGACGACAGGAATATAACAACATCTGCACCTCCTCACTCCTCAACGCCACCCCCATCAGAAAAGGCTTCAGAACGAGAAATTCGTGCTTACAGACGAACACAAAACAGGAACAATAGATTTTTTTTATGTAGTCATTATTTACAACTATGTAGTGATTAAGAGGGAGTTTCTTTCTTTTTTCTGATTGTTATTTTTTTTTCATAACATGTTTAACTTAAGTTTCAACCAATTTAGCTACATATTTAGATCAGTTTGATTCAGTTTGAATATAGCCGTAAATTGGTAATGGAAAGGAGCACAGGATTTGTAGATTGTTTTGCATACTGTCATTAAGTTAAGAGAAGATTACTTAAGTATATATGTTTCGGTAAAGAGTTAATAAATTACTAATTATATTTAATATATAAGTTAATTTTTGCTAAATGCATACTTTTATGTGGTGGAAAGGTGTCGGGTACTTTAATTATATTGTATGCGGGTAATCCTATGGATTCAATAAATCAGTCAGTTGCCAGCCTCTGTGTTTCATTGACGTTACAACAATAAATATATATTTATACTTTTAACGTTGAATATACAATAAGCTCCACCTGCCTATTGTATTTAGAAGAAATACCAAAAATAGAAAAATAATAGATCTCCAATTGTTACTGTAGATTGCTTCAATGATGAAATTTTTGACAGAGAAAAATTCTACTTCTTTTTTTGAACCTGCTGATGAAGGAAGAGTTTTCCGCAGCTCAGTTTCAAATGCAGTCATCCTCTCATTGAAGAGTGTCATTAAATCAGAAATATTCATGTCTTTCATGTTATTCGTGTGTATGAATTACGGCACTGTGCGGAAATGGCACTGGGCAGGCAAGTATACTAACTTGACATTAAAGTTAGCTAATGTAAATGACTAAAATTATGTTTGTTAATAATTTAAACAAATTTACGATCAGGAGCAAAAAAATTTAGTAGTTCTAGATAATAATTTTTGGTCACCCATCTCGTGACCGACATTTGTGAAAGTTGCATAACAGCATCGATCGCGTGCCACGGCGCTAATCCACCTCGACCCAAAGTGACTGGGCTCCGATTGGATATATTAACGACTGCATCTGATAACAACTTAACGTGTCTCTTGAAGATCGTACAATAATTTTTTGGTCACCCATCCTATAACTGGCCTCTAAAAAAGTTGCTTGTCTTTCACAACACTCACCGAACGCGCTAACCATTGTAATATCTATGCGTACTCACATCAAAAATACAACGTAAACGCTATTAAAATTAAATTTTTATTCTCACGCCGGTTTCAAGGTACAATGGTCAATGTAGAGAATGAACTTTTCTATATTGCCTGGGGTCTGGGTGTTGTGGTACCTTCGTTGTCTCAGATACTCCATAATACGGGGGCTTTAGCTACTCATCTTGGAATCTGAGAAATGTATGTGATGTTGTTATATATTTATTTATTTATTATTGTGAGTACACTTCTTTTTTATTTTAATATGAATCGCGCTCATCTCTCACAACGAGATAAATTCAAACATTGCCCTGACAAAACACATCAATCCCCAAACAATCTAGATGGCGATACATCAACCAGGCTCCAAATAACGCATAACCCTTGATTTTACACATCCAACCATTTATTTCAACATAAATTCTGTTGTCTTTTTAATTAATTAACTTAATGGAACATAAAGTAAGTTTTTGAGAGCTCAAGTGCTAAAATTACATTCTTTTATTCTTAGTAATCAATTCTACTAATATTAAAAATTGTAAAGTTTTGAGTTTTTCTTTTATGTGTACCTATCATAAATCGACAATTTGAGGTTCAAAGGTCGTAATCACCAGAATATTACTATTTAGGAGAGCCAAAAAACTAAAATTAAAAATGTTGTTTGTTCCAATTGACAAATACTCGTACAATCATGGTGAACTGAACGACTGCGAAAATGCTAGAAGGTTTCGTATCCTACTATTATCCTTACAATATCGTTCGCGCCCCTTCTGCCCCGCCTTCTCGCACTCTCGCTGGATACCTCCCACTCTCGCTGGTCAGGCCTTCCGCTAGACCAGAAGGCCTGTGATCCAGCGAGAGTGCGAGGAGCCTAGAGTCATGGTCATTTCTTCATATTCACGGGCCTACAAACGGATTAGATGGATGGATTGAACAGAAGAAGCAGCCAGGACCAACAGCTTAAAATGCCTTTGCCCGGGGGAAATGAAGATAATAAATTTTTGGTCACCCATCCTATGGCCGGTTACTGAACGCGATAACCTCTGGGTCATCGAGTTCCACACACACACACTCATTATTTCACGCATACACACTACAATAACAAGAAATTTCACGCATACGCACTGGTGAAGATTCATTAGTAACACTTCTTGTTACCTAATAATAATATATAATATTATAAAGACATGTCCTTTACCGTAGTAAAATGTCCTTTATGTTAGCTGAAAGACATTTCATGCCTTTAAAGCAATTAGGCCTTGTACTCGACATATATATTTCAAATTAAGGGCTACTTAAGTAGATTGGCTCTTAACTAGACAACGTAACTGGTTATAGGCAAATTTTATGTAATTCTATTGATATGTAATAATATCGGTTAAAAATCATAATATGTGATTTATAAAAAAAGTTTAAAGAGCATGTAAATACCAGATGCCTGGTCTAATTGATTGTAGTGAAAAAATATAATAAAAAAAAAGAATTTATTAAAATAAATGTCACATATGCTAATAACATAAACCCAGTTTTGTCATTTTTGACCGTATTTTATTGCTACTTCTGCGTTCAATCGCACGATATAAGCGAATCTGGGAACATGTACCTAAAACTAGTATTATTTGATAGACAAACTTAAATTAAATAAGATCTCATAATACAGTGATGTCTGGATGTAATTAATATTTCTACAATCAATTGCCTGAGTGCATGATATGAGTTTGTAATGGTAATAAAAAAAATGTGACCATCATATACAACGTGTCCCAAAATTCAACGATAAGCGAGCGCCAAGAGGTAGACCTGCTCATGTGTACTTATGGAAAAATAAGAAAAAATTTATATCTTATTAATCTTTTTTATTATAAAATAAAATTCGAAAACTTTCGAAAGAGTTGTAGCGAATAGTAGTGCTACTTAGGTATCCGATACCAAAAAAAGATTGAACATAATTGAGAAGTTGTGGTCGTGGTAGTTGAAAATATCCTAAAAGGTGTAAATTTTCGAAGATTTTCGAATTTAATTTTATAATAAAAAAGATAAGATATAATTTTTTTCTTATTTTTCCATAAGTACACATGAGCAAGGGTACCTCTTTGCGACCGCTTATCGTTGAATTTTGGGACACGTTGTATACTACACCAGATTTTTTTTTTTTATTATTATATTTGATCAATTTTAGATTCACGATGCTACACTATGTGCTATGCTATTAAAAAGTAATATTTGCTTAAACATTATTTATATTTTATTATTTTAAATAACACCAAATTTTATGAGTTCAAATCATCACGAGAAAAGTGACGAAACATTGATAAAAAGTAATTAAAAAGTAAAACGGTATTAAATGAATCATGTAATCAATATACATTATTTAACGTATTTTTACAATTCAGTTCATTAGAACTCTTCGGACAGAAAGACTGTCCAGTTTTCCTATTTTTCTGAAAAAGTTCTGCGTATTCTGAGCTAGAACAAACAAATGAAAATCCGGACAGATAAAATCTGTACTTATACCTAAATGCCTACACTCCACAATAGGACGAACGTGCTAACCGCAACGCTATCAAGCTCCTCTTACATTAAAGCTACCACAATTTCTCGCAAATACGATTTCCTCCAAGTCATGTGCGGATCATTTGATCCCTTTACGATTTAAATCATGTGTCTGCTGGGGAATTTTGTAATGTGTTTGGTCCGAATACCGATTGACCACTCAAATTATTCAGCACGTACGATCATAATGGTTTTTTTCGCATCGAATATAAAGAGAACCGGTCAAGTGCGACACGGACTCGCGCACGAAAGATTCCGCATCATCTACGAAAAATGCAGAGAAATCAAGTTTGTTGTATGGAACCTCTTGAATATTTATTCTGCTTTTTAGTATTTTCTGTTGTAGTGGCAACTAGGTCTTAGTAATAGGGTACCGTTTTACCCTTCCGGTACGCAACCCTAAAAACGTTTTTATGTTTCATCAGTAGATCTTAAATGACTTTATTTATGAACTATTGTAACCCTACGAATGTCGTTTGAATTATTAAAACGATTGTTGAAAGGTTATTTGAGCTAAGTGACGCTATTGTCGACATTTTCAACCGTCGGAATTGAGTCCTATTCGCTCATTTACACTGGTCAATATGGTCAGTCATGTGGAGTATAGATAATTTCTATGGGTTTAAATTTATTGTCGTTGTAATCGCTAAAATATAGATAAGCGAAGCGATATGGTCGGCTTATGTGTCATGCTCGTGAATAGGTACTGCTAGTTGTGATGAGTCTGTTCAAGATTGCTCCATTTTGCCCATTTTCTGTTATTTTGCGTATTGTATAATATTGTTAATATCAGTGAATAGATAAGCCAACAAAAAGGTACTATTTATCATATGGACAAAAATATTATTTCTTTTACAACTTTCCAAGCCGGTTGATTCATACAGCAGTTTCAAGGTTTTTATACGTTAAGCAGTTAAAGTTAAGTATAGCAGTTTTAAGGTATTTATTTTTAAACGTGTAATATAAATAAAAAAATTACACGTATAAATATAAAATATTTCTTCTCAAGGTTTGCTATATTGAAAATTCGTTTATTTACCTACTACTACACTAATGACTACACAACTAAATTTCAACTCGATTAGTACAATAGTTTTAGAACAAATTAGTTATAATAGACACACTTGTTCCTATGAAGGTTCCGTTTGTGTCTTCTGAGGTATGGAGCCCTAGAAACGGGTAATTCCCCTCGGAGTCTGTTAAAGTAACGTTAGTTGCGAATATTCACATTTTAAACCAATTAACTACCATGTTAACAATCACTATCCCTTGATCCATAATCAATGGTAATGTTTTTTTATCCATTCTAATATAATGAAGAGAGAAGATTTGAATGTTTCTTTATTAACACCCTACGCAAAAAGAGAGGTGTTATAAGTTTTACTTGTCTGTTTCTCAGTGTATCTATCTGTTGCACCATATTTCGTAATGTAATGAACTGATTTGAGTGCATTCTTTAACTAGAAATCTTTAGTCATCGCTCTAGGTCTCAGCTATGTTATATGAAAATAGGATAAACAGTTTAGAAGCTACAAGCACTTTAAGGCACAAAGCAAAGTAGCAATTTTAATTATATTTTTAATCATACATTAAAGTTTATTTATCGATAGCCTTTTTTGAGATATAGTTTTAGTATTAAAAAAATTAAAATATTAAACAAAACATAAAATTTATAAAGACACCGGACCCAAAAAAAAACTTAAATAAGTATAAAAATAATATTTAAAATAAAAATAAGCTTGGCAAAAAAATTTATTGCAGTCAGAGGAGCCTTAAATAACAATCTTTTCATGGAACGTCCCCCCCCCCCGACCTCGTTGAGATTTTTATTTATTTTGAAAATAATTTTTATACTTTACACCAAATTATGGGGCTAATTTTAAAAATTATTTCACCAACGATGTGGATAAATAAGATTTATTATTGGTCTATGTCTACAGGAAGCCACATCATACGTGGCAGACATGGGCTATAATTTTCGCTAATGTTATAAAAAAATATTGCAAAATTGTTGATTTCACTTAGCAATATCATTTATTCAAATACCAATAACTTAATAAAATTTGCACTTAATTCTGTTGCGGTGCCAAACGCCTGTGCTTTTATTTACGGCAATCACTCATGCATTATATAATTTGACCATCCATTTTTATAAAAATATAGTGTGGGTATTTTAATACATACTTCACGATTTGCATTGTAAAGAGGTTATATGAAAAATATATTGTTTAATTAAGAAATATTTGATTTATTGCCATCGTTTTGTTACTAAATACAAATTCGTTTAAGTTTTCACCTTAATAAATCAATGAATTCTGACAAAATAGAGATAGTAAAAAAAATGCGATTGAATAACGGTTGTTTGCATGGTCTCGAAATACTCGTACATCCGGCAGATTCATATTCGATTCGAATATATATTGCTTTTGAGAGGGCTTTTGTGATGAAATATTGCATTTGAAAAACTAGTACAAATCGAGGTTACGCAAATCAAATACGAAGTTCCATTTGATCTCACTTAAACACGATATTTTTAAGGATAACAAAAATCTGTTAAGATGGAATTGGACTCGCATTAGAAGAGTTCCGTACAAATATAAAACAAAATATACCACAGATATTTTTTTTTCTGTTATATAAATATTAGCGTGTAATATAATTTCGAGAAGTATTTTCTGTCATAATTTTTTTTTTTTTTTCAAAATTTTAGACCTTTTTCTTTATAGACGTGTTGAGGATCAAATTTCGTTATCTTCTTCAATAACTTTAAAACTACTTATTTCAGAAATATAAAATTATATATTTGAATTCCTCAAATAAAGCCTATTTCATATGTTATATTCCTACCTTTTTTAATTATTCTAATTAATCGCCAAAAATGGCCGGCCGATGTTTCATATTCATTTTGCGTATACGTTATGCGTCCGTCCTTGAGTCACTAACATACATGTTTGTGTACACATTTCAATTCAAAAGGTCCATTAGTTAGTAGCAAATTTAATCATATACTTAGAATCAGAATGAGTCAATACGTATTTCACAAATTGATATTGCTTTTTTTATTTCAAGTAACTTAAGCCAGTTACAGACTTTCACAACTTATAAAGATAGCTAACTTTTTCTGATTAATTATTAAAAAGAAAAGAAAAAATCACACTTGCACAAGAAGACAGATTTACTCATTGAGAACCTCAACGTTTTTGAGGTAATCTCAAACAAAAAATTTATATAATACATACTTTTCTTAATATTATTCTGAACAATTTTTTCAATACATATAA